TCTCTCTCTCTCTCTCTCTCTCTCTCTCTCACGCACATACATACACATGGTTGCTCTGTGTTACAGACCCTCAGGCTGATTTTCCCTTTGCACCCTTTTTCTATGTGCGAGCTGAATTCAAATGAAAGTTCTGAAATGCTATGTATGGTCAATCCTTCTACACGTATATGGCTGTGAATGCTGAACAATCACTGAAGACAGTGAAAACAAAATAGAAGCAACAGAAATGTGGTTTTTTAGGAGACTGCTAAAAGTATTGTGGAAGGAAAAGAAATCAAATGAGGTAGTGCTTGATGAAGCCCACGTGGGACGCTCAATGTTAAAAACAACCAGGAAACGACAAATGCAGTTTTTTGAACACCTGAATAGACATAAGGGTCTTGAACATCTAGCTGTCACGGGCAAAATTGAAGGCAAGCGAGGCAGGGGAAGGCCCAGAACACCATACCTAGAGAACCTAAACAAATGGGTAACAGGGAAAGACCAGGGAAACTTAGCTTTTTTTAGGGCATCTGAGCATAGGAATGAATGGAGAACCATGATCGCCGATGTCTGTCGCAGATCTGGCACTGGATGACGATGAGCTGAATTCAATAATTCTCCGGGCAGAGCGGGATACGACCAAAAAGTGTAGGTACTTTTGTTTTTGTTTAGTTTTTCGGTTCTTTTGGTGTGTTGTGTTGTTGGGGGTTGTTGTTGTTTTTTTGGGGGGGGTGTTTGTTTGTCTTTTACCCCCCCCCCCCCCCTTAGACACAATTAGATCATTCAGGAGGTTGGCTACCAACCTTGTCTTTCAGGGCCAACCCAGGCTGAGAAGGACATAACATCCCAGCAGAAAGACCGAGATGCTGGATACACATAACAGTATTATTATTATTATTAATATTATTATTATTATTATTATAATAATTATTATTATTATTATCATTACTACTATTATTATTATTTATTATTATTATTGTTATTATTATTATTACTATTATTATTATTATTATTATTATTATTATTATTATTATTATTATTATTATTATTATTATTATTGTTATTATTGCCCCTACTCGGAAATTGACCGCGGGTAACCTGCTTGGGATCAGGTGAAGGCCATGGTGAATGAGAGAATCCTGAATCAAAATTACCCTGGCAGTAACTTCTCTCTACGATTGTGAAAAGTCTCGAATCTCTGAATACAGATGTGGTGGCCCAACTATAATATTATCTTTCCTAAACGTTTAACCCTATCCGTACATCGTGTTTTACTATCGTACCCATACGACGTGGGGAACTCTGTGCCACCACTTTCCAAAGATGAAATTTACTCGTTAATCCGATCGTACGCTTTGCACGGCAGTCTGTCAAAATGATTTTTTGAGAAATACTGAAAGTTTCAAAGAGATCTTCGTACTAGACGTATTCTAAAATGTGAAGAATGCAACCCCGAGGCTACAAAATGACCCCAGGGCGTACGGATAGGGTTAAGAACGGTTCAGACCAAACCGCTATTGGATATCCATAGCGGTGAAAGACCCGAAAGCTTGCTTCTTACTAAAATATGTCAACGTCTTGATTAGGAACTGTGGAAAAAACTGAGAGAAAGAAAAAAAAAAACCTGTACCGTTTCCTTTTTCTGGTTCGATGTCTCATACTCGTACAACAGGGGACAATGTGTTGAAGATGAAGTCAAGTTTTATCCAAGGCCACAGTTGCAAGAGATCAAAAGATTTAAATGTTCTTACTTTCAGTTAGAATTGGAGTTCTCATCAGCAGTCATTCACAGAGTAGAGACCTTTCTACTTTTCTTAGAGCGTATTTTGCTATAATGGAGCGGTCAACTTCCTTTTAGTTAAAATTAGTAGCTTTTTGGTTATCGGCTTTTTCTTTTCGCTTTTTTTTGGGGGGGGGGAGGGAGGGGGTCTTTTGTTGTTTGTTTGTTTGGGGGGGGGGGTTGTGTGTGTTTGTTTGGTTGTTTTGTGTTTTATTTTGTTTGTTGTTGTTGTTTTTTGGGGCGCGGGAAAGCGGGGTTCTTGCTGTTTCTTTCTTTTTCTTGTTTTTTTTCTTTTTCCTTGAAAGCTTATGTCTAACTGCAGTCGCTTCGTTTTTTAAAGCACATCCTTCGCATTTGTAAAAACCTGTGTGTGTTTGTTATTTTGGTTGTTGTATTTGTTTTGTTTCGTTTTGTTTCATTTTTTAAGGACATCATGCTTCAGACAAGAGTGTATACTTGTCGTTCAGGACCATGGATGTACCCAGTCACGGGGCGCCATCGGTGCAATTGGTGCAAGCGCTCCGCCTAACCCTGGCCTTCACCACCACCCCCCCCTTTTTTTTCTAATTGTTCTAAACCAATCAGAGCTCTAAATCTCCATTACTACATCGTTGCGATCTGTCACCCGCTGGCTGCGCCAGTGAAGAGACAGACGGCGATGACGATTTATGCTCGTCGCACTGCTTGCGGTAGTGTCTGCTTGGAGCAAGCAAAAACTTTGCACCAAAGTTATTTTTGTCAAAGTAGATAAATCTAGGTATCGTTCTTCCCGCACACGAAGAAAGGTGTGTGAAACTACTCTTCGCAGCACCAATTTGGTGCAAGCTAAAAATTTGATCCAAGTTTCCGCGAGCCTATCTACTACACCAGCCTAGTAGAGTCTACGGTAACTCAATGAAGAATGGGTATCGAAACTGTTGTCTCCTTCTACTGTTTAGCAAGTCCTGGTGATGCACAAAGTAATTAGAAATCGTTAAATCTTCTCAGATTGTGAGCATAGTGAGTTGTTAGTATTGTTTCACATTATTGCAGCTTTCATGCGGTTTCATCTAGAAACAATGGGTAGTTGGCCGGTGCTCTGGTGTGGCTTGCTCCTTCTTTCCTACAAAACATCTATCTTCCTGATCTCCCTCCTTCTTTTATGTGTTTGTTACTCTCTTGTAACACCTGTACTCTTCGGCACTTGTATGACCTTATTGTGTTGCAAGTGCCGCAAAGCTCTTACCAATGCTAAAAAAGAAAAATCTAGAAACAGTTGTAAATATCGTTAGATGTAGATTACGGAATATCCTGCAGATTTTAATTGACTTTCTCTAGAAATCTTAATCGTGGCTACTATAAAGCCTATGACCCATTTGCTCACTTTCCAATTATGCACCACCTTCTCTGCAACCCACGCGACGCCACTGGGTGTACCCCACTGCACTCTTCGGTCCATAAATGTCTCAATTCCCGAAATTATTACCGTGGCTTGTTATTCTTTCTTTGAAGTACCACAAGGACTAATTTATTTGTATTCCTGTATTCCTTTGGGACAATGAAGTGTTATCCTCTCTTATCTCGTATCTTATGTGTGCCGTTGGTTTCTGTTCTTCTCACCTTCTTGGTTTCTCGTAGATGCTTCTTCTTTGCTATCAAAAGTCTATCGTCCTTATCTCTCCTCCTTCTTTTTTGTGTTTGTTATTCTCTTGGAACACCTCTAATCTTCGGCATTTTTATGACCTTATTGTGTTGCAAGTGCCGTAAAACCCTTACTAAAACTAAGTAGATGGCCCATCGACACAACTTACGTCATTAAGGGGGTGGATGTTTCGATTCTGCCCTTCAGGGACAGCCTGGGCTGAGAGGGGTAGGCGGGTGCTCCTGATAAGGCTACTCCTTCATTCCTTTCAAACATCTATCGTTCTTATCTATTCTTCTTCTCTCCTATCAAACATACATCGTCTTTATCTCTTCTCGTTCGTTTCTTTGTATGTTACTCTCTTGTAACACATCTAATCTTCAGCATAAGTATGATCTATTTGTGTTGCAAATGCCGTAAATACATGTACTAAAACTCCTATCTCCAAAACTAAACTAAGACTAAAGGGAAACAACGTCCTCTCTCTCTCTCTCTCTCTCTCTCTCTCTCTCTCTCTCTCTCTCTCTCTCTCTCTCTCTCTCTCTCTCTCTCTCTCTCTCTCTCTCTCTCACTCTTTTTCTCTCTCTCTCTTTCTGTCTGTCTGTCTCTCTCTCACTCTTTTTCTCTCTCTCTCTTTCTGTGTGTGTATCTATCTATCTATATATCTATCTATCTATCTATCTATCTATCTATCTATCTATCTATCTATCTATCTATCTATCTATCTATCTATCTATCTATCTACCTCACCCCCCCTCTTTCTCTTCTTCTGCTTCTTCGATGTCTTTTTTCTTCTTCTTCGTTGTCAACGAAAGCAAATGGAGAATTGCGAAATCCCCCTCACCAACGTATCTTGCTATTAAGCAATAACGAGACAATTGAAAAGTCTGTCCTTACATGGAGAACTCCATGCTCACGTCAACCTCTTCAACTCATAATATGGCTACTCACCAAACCACTTCCTTCAACACTTTACCCCCCACCCCACCCCCGCTGCCTCTCTCACTTTCTCTTCCTCTCTTCTCATTCCCCATACCCTGCTTATCTATCAGTATGTCTATCTATGGGACATGTCTCCATGTGTCTTTCCATTGTCTCCCTATTCGTTTATCTTTGCGCGGTGAACACTCGTAATCCTAGCCACTTCAACGTCCCGACCACTTCTGTTGCGCCACTTCTCCGTAGATTAAACCAAGCAATGACTACGTTTGTTGTCGTGCATATCTTCGTAATGCAAAACATGACTCACATTGCATCTGTCCGTACATTCAGCTCGCTTGGGGATGACCTCTCATGCCCTTTTTGGTCAAGGGAAGCGAAACGGCCGCGAGCTGTCCCTCTATAAATCACTTCACGATAGAGCCTGGTCATTCCTCTTGATTGACAGCCACTGGAGAAGAGAGAGAGGGACAGAGGGGAAACAGAGAGATACAGTGAGGGAACACATGCAGTGAGAAGAGAGAGAGAGGAAGCGTTGAAACAGAGGCGAGAAAGTAGCATAAGAGAAAAAAAAAGAGAGAGAGAGAAGTCAATCGGTCTGTCAGACTCGAGACAGTTTTGTTTCTTTCGGCAGTTATTGGCTAGCCCAATAGCCATGGGCGGGGGAATTCTTGGGGTTCCCTCGAGCTTACGGCCGGAATTTCTTGTCGTTGTATTTGTCCTGATTGTCTGCAAGGGTAAGTAAAATTGACCTAACAAATTAAGATTTGGTTTATGTGTTCAAAACCTTAACCCCTCGCCCTTCAGAAGCACTAGCCTTATTTTAATACACCTCTCCGTCTTCCTTTGTTATTGAGCACATTTGACCCAGTTTTGTTCCTGGGCGAGAGTATAAATGTATAAATAGATGACAAGTTTTGAAATTGCGAAATTCCTGTATGTTTAACGCCCCTTGCGACACTTTAAGATTATGTAAAAGGTGGGACCTCCTAATTCAGCGTCTGCTTCCGATAGGAGTGAATGCGTTTCGTTACAGTTACAGGTACTTTTCGATTTGCAGGTACGGTTGCATACAAATGTATTATGAAAATTTAAAATGTTTCGTTGATATTCATATTCAATGCATTGTCATAATTTTGGGTGTATAAAATGATAGCCAACGCATTGCACTCCCCACTGAAACCCTCTTAGCTTCGGCTAGGGCCTGCAGAGAGTGGTTAATATTGTTATGCTTTTAAAATGCTTTTTTTCCAAGTACATGGATACATATTGCGACTTTGAAATGAGGCACCCTTTGATAAGTAAATATGATGATCTTATTTATTTTCCAACTTATCTTTAAATCCATTGAATATCAGTTCTGGGTGTTGTCCACCGTAAGCGGCGAAATTACTTAATGTTTAATTGAGAGGAAAGTACATGTTGTTTTCGTGCAAAATAGTTCTGTTAGAACATAATTCCGATATTGTGCCTGAAATGTTTCGAGAACTAAGTCAGAGACATCTTGATACTAACAGACATTAAAACAAAAATATAAACAACAACAAAAAAGCAATAACACAACCTTGTTGTTAAACCCACATTCTAAGGCGAAAAAAGTGAGCCTTTTACTTTTGACAACATCTTTGGTGAAAGAAGTACGGTGTTCTGTAACTTAACGTATTTATTTCCCGGTACAGTTCAATGTCCTATATGATATGAAGGTTTAGGGACTTTTGCATTACAATGGTGGTCATTAGCAGTCTAGTGACCATATCTTTGTGAAGGCAATAGATGTTCCTGTAACTATCTCTTTATTGGCAAAGTTCAATGACTTCTAAGATATGAAGGTTTAGGGACTGTTGTTGTGTTATGTTGGTGGTTATTAGCAGTCTAGTGACCATATCTTTGTGAAGGCAATAGAGGTTCATCTCTTTGTTGGCACCGTTCAACGACTTAAATGATATGAAGGTTTAGGGACTTGTGCGTTACAATGGTGGGCATTAGCAGTCTAGTGACCGTATCTTTGTGAAGGCAATAGATGTTCATCTCTTTGTTGGCACAGTTCAACGACTTCAGTGAATAATAATATAATGGTATGAAGATTTAGGTAGGGAGGACGAGACGTGACTTTGACTCTCGTCTTGGATCTTCCCTTTCGCTTTCAAAATCGAGTTGTCTCGAGTTGTCTCCGCCTGTCTGCAAGGACATAGTAACCCTCTCAGCCTAGGTTAAAGTGTCGAAGCAGCCTGCTTCCTGAAAGATCTAAACGTGGGGCGTGCTCATAAAATGAGTTACTTCTCGCAATTCACAAATGGAGATATTGGACCAAAAATCGACACTTGTGTCAAATTTGTAGATTTTGTAATAATGACATATTCTTTAGGAATATCATGTTTTCACTATTTCATACTTATATTGTAAAAAAACACTTCACCTATAAGCGTGATGTATCTATTTCCATAGGGCTGGAATAAAAAAAATTACTCATTTTGTCAGCACACTTAATAAACTCGATGGGGATGTTTAACATCTGTAATTATAATATATATAAAACGTTGCAAAACAAGAAAAAGTAAATGTGCGCCAAAACATAATTTAACGGGGTTTTTTTCCTCCCAAAAGTAACTACCATTTCAGGAAGCCTACCCACTCATTCGTAGTTTCCTATGACGTAACAAATCTAGTCGGCATGACGTAACAAATGACGTGAGAGACTACTTACCGGGTGTCCTTGCTCATAACAAAAAATAGACCATGTGGAAATAACTGCATCGTTTCATTGTAGTACATGTATCCATTTTTAGAAAACACTTGACCCCTTAACGGATTGCCCGCACGTCGTTTAACGAAGGACATGCCACTTGGCTTGAAATGAATCTGTTCCGCGCTTTGTACCGATCGGTGCAATCTTAAGATTGCGCTTCGCATTTTAACGGTCGTATTATTGTATCATTCTTGTGAGCTCTTCAGTTTCATATCTTAATTTTAATTTTACTTTTCATATTTTTACACTTTTCAAGATATACATGGATGGTCCTTGGTGTGAGTTAAAGAATAAAGGTGGAAGTGAATTTTTTGTTAATCATTTAAAAATATAAGATAAGTTAAATGTGCTTTGTGAACTTTGAGTTTAATGCCTGGCATTGTGTCATTCTTGTGGGCGGTTTCATACTGTAATTTTATTTTTAATTTTCAT